GATATTTGAATTTCTAGATTAGATTGTCTGGCTTTATTAAAGCCAGACAATCTAATCTAGACAGTATTTGACAATATTGTCTCATAACATAACTTGTAATAACAACTGAATGTCCATATTAAGCTACAATGCAAAAAAATTGATTTTTTTACAAAAAAAGCTTGAAACATATCACTAATTTTTATTTTTATATTTTCTGGGTAAGATATTGTTTTTGTTTTTATTATTCACTTATATATTATATATCTTTCATGTTGATGTTTTGCAGTACCCTGCAGACTTTGCTTTATAAGGAGATTGTTGGGCCTTTTGGGAAATATTAAGCCATCTGCTTTTTTCAGATATGATTCCTTTTCAAAGCTGCCTCAGGTCATTCATCAATCAAGAATCAGGCCAGCCATGTTCTGTGCAGATACACCTCAATGAAATGGTTCTCAATGTCATTCTCGAAGCCTGAATTAAACAGAATGAATCCTGAGTGCCACACATAAAACATGTGTTCCAGAAATCCACCCGTTCTAAAGGGGGGAGCATGTCTTGAGTCATATGATTGTCATAGCCTGTTCTGCAACAAAACCCTTAGTTATTGTAACTGTTTATGAAGACGTAGCTTTGGATCGGAGGTCAAACTAATCCCAAATACTTTTGACAAGAAAAGGACCTCAACATGGTGAAGGCAGTTCATAGACGTTTGTGGCATGTGGGGATGGATCTTGTTGAGCAAGTGATCAGAGTGGTCTTAGAAAGTGAGAACCAAGCTTCAGTCTGAGACGGGTTCTGACAGAGGCACAGTCAGGATTTCCTGACTACCACCAGTGGTGACCTGGAGACATGTCCAACAATTTTCCAGATGATCGGAGTAAAACTGGTGCATTGACAGTATTGGTTCTTTTCCATTCTGCACTCAGACAACAATCATAAATGCAGAACCAAGAAAGCTTATATCTCAACATGAAATATGGTGTATTAGTCATCAATAAATGCCTCCAATTGATCCAAATCCAAACATTTGCCTTTGCTATAATGACCACAGATGAGACAGTGAACCAGTTGTTAAGAGACGCATGGACTTCAAAGGTACATGTAAAAAGTTCAGCACTCATATCTGAATCGCACAAACATATTTTGGGGTTCTGTCATCCCTGGCAATATTGATGTGGTCTGTCTGGGGCAATTGTTTTCCCTTTGACCACTTTTCAGAAGCACATCTGTGAATTTCACTTTTAAAAGTCTCAAACAGCATAAACATTCATAGGACAAGCAATGCCTCTCGCCACCTCAGGGATATTTAGTGTTCAAACAATAAAAAGGTCTCAACAAAGCATAGCTCCATAATATGTCTTCTTACAGTAATGGCTGTCGTCTACCAAGTGAGATATAATTTACCCTCTGCAGCAGAGCCTGGAATAGCAGCTCGGCTGTTTCTGTTAACTGATTAAATTATTTACCGCAGCAGAGATGGAGACAGAGCGGGGGTGGTGGTGGAAGATATCACAAGGTGTCTCTGTGCAGTTTGTGTGTGAGCAGGGTAGAGGAAAAACAGAAAGAGATGAGTTACTCTTTCATGAGTGCTTTTGTGTGCTGACCAATAAAACGGGGAGCTGAGCTGCACAGCGTGTTCTGCATCATCAGGCTGATAAGACAAAAGGGGAAGCCGGCCCATCTAATAAGCCCATCGATCCCAGCTCACCCAGTTACACATTAACATTTACAACTAGAAAATCCAGCTTGGACAAAGACACAGCCTGCTGAGTGAAGAAAAACAAACAATACCAATAAAATAAGTAAATGAATGCAAAACTACCGCGTTTTCTCATTGCATTATTATTGAAAGATTTTATCTCAATTTTATGTGAAACTGATTTTAACCAGAGACCTGTGTGGTTGTGAAATTTCAAAACAGTTTTTTTTTCTCGATAAAGTTCTTATAATGAGATGTCAAAGGAAGTGTTGGAGTAAATGGAGTTTTCTCCAGCTTTACAGAGCATACAGCTGCAGAGACTCTATCCGCTGTGCATCACTAATAAAATTGCACAAATTGGAATTCCGTAAATAAATATGCTCAATAGAATTACAAAAAAGATGTTTTTATATAAATACAAGTTTTTGCAGCAGAATGAAGTGGTTTTTCAGCCATGCTGTATTTGGTGAATTTACCAAGACTATAATGGAAACTATGGTGCCAGGCTACTGACATGGGAGAAAAGTAAAAAACAAAACAATCATGGCCGTGACCTAATATCTTGTGGGAACGACTTGTTTATTTTGTGGGAACCACATAATTATAACAAGCACAAATTGTTCATTTTCTCTCATGTGACCAGACAGGCCCCCGTAGGAAACAAAGTTTTTCGCGTCCCATCTATTTCAAGGCGAATCCAGCTTGGACAATACACATCTGGCTCCACCAGTAGTCTCATAGAATCACTCAGTTCATCAATAGTTGAGTTTGTCATTCCAAAGTATTGAATCCATAGCTCAATCAAAATGGCAGAATACAGTTTTGGACACGTAGTCACTCCCAACTTTAAGGAACTTGTTGCTCCAATACCTCAATGAGACACTGCCGTTTCCTCTGATGCCTGAGAAGAAGCAGTTCTGTGGCTGAACTTGTTCATTTATCATGTGAACAAATGTTTTCATGAACAAATTTCAAAATTTGGCAATTATGAAAAAAAAAACACTTTTTTACCATTAAAAATGAACATTTTGCACTTATTTGCAATTGCCTGAAAGAGAGTTACTATATTTCTCCTTATATAATAAAGACAGACTTAGCTGTGGTCTTTTTTTTTCCC